TAAGTGTTGGACCAATCTTTTGACAATAACATAAATATATCTAAATGTAATCATGTTAGCTTCTGAATAATCACGTGTATATATTTCAACTAGCTTTAACCCGCGGCTTCGCTCGCGGGTGACAGAAGAAATTATCAAAAAATATAGAAAAATTCAACAGCTGAAACTATAGTCAATTGGATTGGATTGGATTGGATATTGTCGTGACTGTGAATAATACAGCGCGACGGTATTACGGTACTGAGGGTTGGAACTTCATTAGTGGAATGTTAGATGACGTTAAAGTAGCTAGATTTTGAGATCTTTTTGACAAACAAGTTTTTATCTAACATAAAAATAATTGTTTTTTTTTCAATAAAAAGTAGCCTATGTTACTTCTAATACCTCCAAGAACATGTGTACAAAATTTCATGATGATCGGTTGAATAGTATTCGCGTGAAACCGTAACAAACAAACTTACATTCGCATTTATAATATTAGTAGGGATAGGGATTAGAAAGAACATTGAAGACTTCCTGTTATCACTGTTTTTTTCACTCAATAAAAGAATCCATTTGCAAAATTTATTGCAATCTTTTTTCATTTTCATCTCAACTCTATAATTTTTGAAACTATTCCGTATTTGGAGTCATTCCAACACATTTCCAATAGAATTATTTTGCTTCAATCAAAACTGCAATTTTCTCTCAAGTGCATTAACATTTTATTTCATTCCTAATAAGCCACAAACTCAGTCCCTGCAGAGATAAGAACGAGAATAATGGACAAAGATACATTCCCAAGGAACATTCAGACAGTAGTTATGTTAATGTCACCAACTTCAAGTTTATGTTATGTATATTGGATCCTAATCTGTATATTCGGTCTAGATTGAGTTTTGGTTTGCTTTTAAATTAACTCTCGACACAAGTGGGAAACATTTACATTACATAGATGACGATAATGACAATTTCCCAATAATTCCGAGTAGCTTATATACTTTGACCGGTTGAGTTTGAGATTGAACATTGTAGTAATTCTATCCATGATAATAATTATAGAATTTTTACAATACATTCCATTTAAGACGCATATATGTATATATACGGTGGTAGACGCTAGACAGCTGTCTACCGGTAGCTTTTAGATTGAAATCAATATGGGGATTTACAAAAAAGATTTGAAGCTTTAATAAGTTCTAATTATTATTTGCCAGCGCTTTCATCTTCATGGCTATACTCAAACTGAACGTTTATCTCCTTTTTTATTCTTTTTTACGGTTAGATGGCCTTAGTGAATTTGTTGATACTTCAATAATTGGGGTTTGGGCAGGTATTTGTCCTCCTCTTTCATTCGGATGTCTCATTAAATTTGGGTTACATCAGGTATTGGTGTTTCTCTAAGTTCATTGTTCCTACTAGAAATGTGTATTGTTTTGTGAAGTATATTGAATGTTAGGTCTTGTTATTTTGATTTGTATTTGTTCTTCGATAAGTCAATTATGGCTTTTGAATTTATCGATGAACATAAACATAACGTATAAGACTGATAATTCCGTGGACAGAAAAATAGCCATATACAACGCGTCTTAAATAAATTGTATTTTGAAAATTCTATAATCATTACATGGATAGTATTATACAGTGTATTCATAAGTGTAGTAATCAATAAAATTATTGAAGTTTGTAATGGACCTGAGAGATACGTAAAGTGATGAATAACATCAAAAGTTTCGAAACTATTACTTCGGATCGAACTGTATTGAAAATACAATACAACTTCATCAGTACAAAATCGTATCCTAGTAATGAACTGGAACCATGTCGTTGAATGAATCTTAAACAAGCACTCTCATACACCAGAACTGAACATTCTTCTCGACGCAACTTTCACCATGGAGTCTTCAGGCGTTGTAGTTCTGGTGTTCGAGAAAAGTGCCTATTTTGAACAAATATGAGTTGCAGTCCTCGTAGTTCTGGTTCCCTTTCAGAGCTTCATGAAGCAAGAGCCGAATCAATCCCTCTACGAAACCCTTCTTCACTTGGAAGGATCGATCGCAGTTTGAGAAATGTTTCTCATGCAGATTATGTGAAACATGTAGAGAGTTGTCCTGAACATTTTGAGAAGAAAACTGGATTAGATAATTTAAGAAACACTTGCTACATGAATAGCATTTTAAAAGTGTTGTTCATGACGAAAAATTTTAAGAACGAGGTTTCAATGATGAACGAGAAGAATGTATCATCTTTCCCTCCAAGCGATTTCCTGGAGTCTCTGAAGTCCACTAGATACTCGTTAGGACAACAAGAGGATTGTTCTGAATTCTTGAGGTTCTTGTTGAATACTCTTCGTGGGCAAAACAATAGCAGAATCAATACTCCTGACCACTCTGGATTGAATAATTCCCAACAGTCTATCTAGTCTGGTGTTTGTAAATCTTTTGCTGAAAAAATCGTCACTTGTGTACTTTGTAGTAAATATTCTAGAGGTAGCAAAAACGTATGTGAATTTCTGGAACTTCATCTAGCGTTTCCTAATATGACTAATAACCAGTCCATGCAAAACTTATTATTAAATCATCTGAAAATGGAATTTTTAACAGGTGATGATCGACTGTATTGTCAAACATGCGCCAAACTAACTGACTGTTATAAGGAAACAAGTATAGCTGAGGCACCAGTCAATCTGATAATAACGCTGATGATCTGCAAACAAGACTCAACCTGTGACGGAAGCACCAAACTCTTTCGAAGGTTCGAATTAGATGAACACTTCAATCTAGCAAACCACTATTAATATATTCATGCAGTCATTGTTCACTGTGGTTCTGGCGTTGAATTTGATCATTATTACGCCTTGGTCAAAGACGAAACTGACTGGTTTAAGTTTGACGATAGTCGTGTCACGAAGTGTTCTGGCGATGTATTGAATTTATTGGAGCCTCTGGAGACACCCTACATTTTGTTTTATGAGAGAGAGGACATTGGCAGATCAAGATCTTCAGATGATGTGGTGCTGCAGGATTTTTTACCGATGGAATTTGCCGATACTTGATGAAAATCCATAACTAAAGTATTCAAAAAACACTTCATCTTGTGATTTTCACTAAACATTTTTACAAAAACGCAACACGTGTTTCGCCATGCAATACATTACTTTAAACACTCGCCCGAAGAAGCCATTGTATTGCGAAACACGTGTTGCGTTTTTGTAAAAATGTTTAGTGAAGATCTCAGAATGAAGTGTTTTTTGAATACGTTCAACATAGGAGTTAGTCAATGCATGTATAATTATGTATTATATGTCTTCACTGGTTCTGATACAGTCCACTTTTCAAATATTCAATATTCAATTAAATTGAATCTGGAGACCGTATCTATCTATCCTCCCTAACAATTTTTATTTATCGAAGGGTTTGAATGGGACTGTGAAGTGGAAAAGTGATCGTAAACAATAAATGAAGGTTCTCTGAAAACCTTCTGTTTCTGGTATTTCAATCTATGCTTTCCATTGAAGATATGAGGACTACCAAACTATTTATTTCAGCAAAATAATTTCATCAAATAGAGGTGTATTTCATGTCTTCATGGTACAGTAAGGTGTAAAATAATCAGTAAATATGAAGTCCCCCGCTGAATGCGATTAATTCAAAAATTACCAAATGGTATTTTCGAGTATTTCAAAGTATCCCAGAATTCTTCCGGTATATTTTTTATAATATTTTAATACTATCAAATGTTCTGTAATGTTCCAGAAAATTCCAGGAAACCTTCTTGAACAGAGTTAAGTTAGGTTAGGTCTGAAGTGAGTGGGTCTATTCGACCCTATTTTATGGTGAGTGGTCTTTCAGGTCTAATGGTGAGAGTACGGCTCTGCAGTTTCATCATTTTCCAAATAGAGGCGACACACACTGTCTTCCGACAGTCCGAGTCCCTGCATATGATGATTCAAATGACAGTGACCTGTAAGAATGCCCATTAGACATCGTAGTTCATCCTTACTGTAGTCCAACAACTATTTGGTATCAAGCTTCGAAGGGTGAATAAACGCCTTGGAGCGAGCCAATCCTGGAAGATTATGCCGGAAGCCCATTAATCTTCTTGCCATCCAGGTGTTCAATCTTTGTTTGGCAATGCCTAAAGCGATGCCGATGACAGGTTCTGGTCCGATGAAGCTGCATGCAGCACCCTCCTTCGCAAGGGAGTCAGCAGTTTCATTGTCTTCCAGGCCAGTATGGCCGGGAATCCAGACCAGAGACAATTTGTTAAGCCTTTCTATTGGGGAGAGTCGTTTTTGGCAATTTGCTACCAATTTAGACGTTGCTCGTTAGGAGCCAAGAGCTTGAACAGGGAGTACAGGACTATAACAACATATACCCGTAACCTCCTCAATCGTTTCACACAGGATGTTTCCGTACGTTACAGACTATTTTTGAACATTGCAGAATGTTCTGGAATGATCTGAATATTGTGGAATGCTTTCAACTACTCTCGATCATTTTGGATTCCTTTAGAATTTTCATGATGGTGAAAATTGTGGTAGGTATATCGTCATAAGCACGCCTTTTAGATGAGGAAATGAAAGCCTTTCCCAAGGATGAGGGATAGAGGGCTGACAAAACATGTAATTCCCTTGATCGATCCACAATGATTTTGGATGTTTCCGAACGTTCTAGACTATTGACGAATATTCCAGGATGATCTAGAATATTCTGAAATGTTTTCTGATAATCTCTATTGTTGAAGGCTGTTCCACAATTTCTTCAAAAGATGAAAATTGCACTCCCCTTTTCGCTTCTCAGGTGAGAACGAAAACGTTTTTCATGAATGAAAAATATAGGTTTACCATATAACTTTCACCATATTCTAGATTGTTCTGGGATATTCTGGAATGTCTTGTATGGCTCTCGAACACTCAATGTTCTGGACTCACCTACAACTTTCTAAAGGACAAAACTTACAGCCTCACTTACGATGAGTAAGTATTCAAATCAGTTTTATTTCAAATAAAAAACAACATGAATAATTTATTGAAAATCTATTGATAAGATCGAATAATATTACAATGTACAGTCTTAAATTAAATTTTGAGTTATTGTCCGACAATAAAAAATCTTTGGTGAAATTCAAATTACAAAATACATTCACAATAATCAACACATACACAACTACTCCAGGTATCTTATTAATAACGTATATTTCTTAGAAGTAAATTAAAGCATAACTTATTTTTCTATTGACATTAATGATGAAAACAAAGTTGTTCTAGAAAGGATACATTCTGCGTAACTATGTATTGCCAAGAATACCAGCATTCACATACTTAACATATTCTGAGAAACTTTAAATCCAAGTGCCTACATTAGGTTCATAATAAATACCGTGAAAGTGGATGGAAATATTTCATCACATGACAATCCTAAATTCGTTATCAACATACATTTTTTGGGTAACCCAACATATAAATAAATGCGGTTTTTTATACTGGATCGTTCGGCGGAGAACTATATATTGAACAGAAATTACATAGTAGCTTCTGATTATCCATGGCATATCTATATACATAATATTTGTTTGAAAAAGTTCAGTATGTCTCAAAGGCGCGTGTCCAATTGTAACAAAAAAACCGTAACGTGACCACGTGTTATGTCTAGACGAGTCGGAGTACCATTGCATTTTGCCCAATATCCGTAACGTAACAAATTAATTCATGCCTCAAGAATTCATAAACTTAAATCGAAAAAGGGTCATGATAATACGAGTGTTTTCAACATGGAGAGAATGTCTGTTATATATGACAGTCATGGGTTCATATAATGTTGCTCAACATAATTTATAGTAAGGTACTACTTATTTGGTAGTACTCTACCACATCCATTCACTAACTTTCAGAGTAAAATTCAAGTGGTACTAACGCTGACCATGAAATGAAAACACGACAAATTAAATTATTGAAGATACAAATTTTATATTTGATTCAAACTCTCGTAGTCCCATGAGAAGATGGATTTTAAACAAAGGGGATATGGGTGAATTTTGGTTTCTAACCCTTCTGTAGTTTTTAATGAACAACGAGAACAACAAATAGAAACAAGTCCACAACTCCTCCGAAATGATTATCGATTCATTATCTAACTTGCTAATGATGAGTGTGATACAATTAGAAACAGTATTGGTCTTCGAAGTGGACTGGTTCTTTGAAAAAAAATCAAATTGTGGAACGAGGCTTTGAAACTTGTCGAAATGAATTTATTCACAGTCTCTTTTTTATTGTTCAATAATATTCTCCATCTCTGATCAAATGTGTTATGACACTCCACATAATACTGATACTCATTTCGCATTTGGTCTCAGTATTTCAAATAATTCAATAGAATCACAAAAAAGCGCCGCTTTTGGAAAGTCTTTTCCTACATATAAATTGACTAGGTTATTTGAGGAAAAGGAAATTCTTCGTCACAACTGGACTCCTGACTCGAAGGGGGTGTGTCAAGTTGTGGAAGACCCAAATCCAAATATTCTTCGTTAGCAGTTATCGTCAGAATTCTATCTAAGTCTTCGACTAATTCTGAGAAGACGGGACGTTCTGTCGGCTGATAGCTCCAGCATTCCCTCATCTGCATATATATGTCCAACGAACAGCAAGGGGGCTTCTCCATTCTGTGTCCATTGCGTAGAAGTTGGAATAACTTCTCCACACTAGGAACAGAAGGATAAGGAGTCCCTGGAAAAAAGATTGTTCAAGTTATTTTTGTGAATAAAATGATTATTTCTAGTTGTAATTTTATACTTCTTTAATTGACTAGGTTTGTTTTCATAAGCATAAGATGAGTTGAATATGTTATCTGTCGGAGAGAGAGATGTGGGTTGGTTTGTCAAAAACAATACAGAGCTAAATAGTGACAAAACGCAAAACCTTATTTTTGGGTTTGGCAATAGTTAATAGATTACCATATGTACAATATTACGAAATCTGCCTATCGGATGTTAGAATATGTAATCAGAGAAAGCAGGTATTTTATCAGTAACCATTGACTTACTTCATTATACCTTAGTGCGACCCAAACTTCAGTATAAAAGAGAGAGAGGAAGAATATTCTTTATTATCATAGTGAATCCCACGGAATCTCAGGTGAGATTGAACCAAGTTCAACTACGACTACTCTAACTGCATAACAACCAGATGACACTTTGTTACACAAGGTTTTAACATGATTTTTAAATTTCAGTTTTCTATCGATATTAGTACTCCTAAAAATTTCAAGCTACTTTTATTCTCAATGATATCATTCCCAATGGGTATATTGTCAAGTTCAGTTCTGAAAGTTACTATATTAGTTTTCGAAACATTTAGAGAAAGACGATTTGAATCACACCAACTCTTTACTTTCATCATATCGTTGAATATGATTTTAGGTAAATCATTTACGTTGTCCGATTGCCAAAAATGGTACTTTCGTCTGCAAATAGCGTGAATTTTCCTAAGATATTCATACTTGTGGAATCGTTTACATAGATGAGGAACAATGTTTGCCTTAGTATTGTAGCTTAAGGCACACCCTCACGTTTTTTTTTGAATTTCTGAGCCACGGTTTGTTTCCACCATCTGGCTACAACCTAATAAATATGAGCTGATCCAGCTCAGTATCAGCTCTGAAGCCGTAGTTAGTAAGCTTTCTCAACAGTATTTAGTGATCCACACAGTCAAAAGCTTTCAAAAAATCGCAAAATACTGCAGAAGCAACCTCGTCACTATTGTCGTCACAACACTTGTCTAGTATAAACTTTTTCTATGACTGAGAAAATTGCATCATTAGTGCATTTGCTACTTCAAAAACCAAACTATACTTTATTACAGATTTTATGTTTCGACGGAAATACAGTTATCTTCATCTTGACTAGTTCTTCTGAGTTTTTGTAATGTGGGAATTAGGGAAATAGCCGATAATGTGAGGAGTCGTCCTGATTTCCATCTTTATATAGTGGTATTACAAATGATACCTTCAGGAAATCAGGAAATGGACAAACGAAAATTCAACTGTATTAGGTGATCTAGCAAATGTGCAAAATAATTTGCTGAGATGTGTGAGTTTTGAAAAATATCATACACGGCCGGATTATTGGACGTTGCGAACATCAACACTTAGCAGCAACACTGCAGCAAAAACGTGTTTTGACAATTATGATATTTTTGTATGAAATTTCAAAGCAAAGCAAAGTGTTTTTCCAATAAGTCGTTGATATATAATAAAAAGAGGGTTGTAGACAATATGGATCCCTGGGGAACACCAGCGTTGATGGTGAAAGTATTCCAGAGATATCCATCGACAGTCACTTGCAGAAAACGTTCTTTCAAGGAGCTGTCATAGCAACGAAGTTTGGCCAGCAAACTCTCATGCCACACATGGTCAAAAGCCTCAGAAATATCAAGACCAACAACTCTTGATTCTCCATGTGTCTCGATTGCGTTATTAGAAATATGGGTAACATAGGATAGAAGGCCGCCTGTTGATCTTTGTTTTCGAAAGTCAAATTAATGATCGCTGAAGATGTTGAAGTCTTCTAAATATTTGAGTATATGGTGGTTTACGGCTTTCTCCATGATTTTTGATACCAGTGATAGAAAAGTGACTAGTCTATAGTTATTTGAAAGGTTTTTCATTCCTTTCTTGGTAATAGGCTGAAAGCGAGCAATCTCCCAACAAGAAGGAAAAACCCATTCCTTGTTAGACGAGTTGAAAAGTCTGCAAAATACTGGTGCGGGTTCATTTGCTCACTCACGATGTGTTGGATGAAGGCTCCTTATTCCAGCTTCACCACTAAATAAACTCATCGAGTGTCATTTATCAACCAGTGATGGCGTCAGAATGTGGTGCCGTGGTGCAGCACACTCTCAGAAAAAAGCATTAATGGTGACACATATCCATGGCTAAAACCACAGTACAAAAACTAAGCATTCGTGTTCCAACATCAGATAGCATTGTTTCAACCCGGCAAGGATTCATCAGTGTTGCTAGTCTAAACAATGAATGCATTGTTAGACTCGACAAGCCTGAGCAAATACGGACGATGACATCTCATACGAAAGCGCCATCTATGAGATCGACAGAAGACTCTCTGGGAGTTTCAAATATGATCGATGCCCCCTAAGGCGATCCATTGCAAAACCAAGCTTCCACGTCGACAGCAAAATGAGATTCGTCGTTTGTCTTCCCCTACAGTTTTTATTGTGGGGCAAATATATAAAACCAGAACCCAAAAACAAAAATAATTCATGATCGGGAACCAGACAACACTGTTCCGACCCGCCAGGATATCACATAAATACATCTCATACATCAGAATAACATATCTGCTACAATTTAAAAAGGTTTTGTGTAATTTTGGTCATAATATAACAATAATAATTAAGTAAGTTGGAAAAATTCTTGCTCCCTGAGAGCTATCTTGGCGTGCGCTGCCTATACCGTTGGAGTTACATGCAGATAATGTATCATAAGATTGTTTATCTTTAATAGTTCTAAATGAAAGTCCGCGTTAGCATATATCTACCCCTTATATGGTAGCCACTATATGCAAAATACGGACCCATAATTACAATTAAATTTAATACTTTTTTACAATGCACATTTCAGAATATCTATCAAATTCTCATAAATATTGATACATTCGTCGTTTTAAGTATTTTTCTGATTGATTCGGCCGTTACTCGATGAAGATCCAAAGTAATTTCATGAACTACACCTTACGAATTGATCCCCACAAACTTTATTCGAGAAATAAATCAAGACATGTTTCGCTAACACAGTAGCTTCTTCAAAAGTGTAATTATAATCGGGACTACTTCCATCAAGTTACCTACACTTCTACAATTTTTATATACCTTAGGTACCTCTTCAGTTATGATTACCTCACTTCTACATCAATAATAATATTTTCTCGGTTTTTTCAGAAAACAGGTTCAATAATGGTGATCTATTCAAATTCTGTTGGTCATTCATTTGAATGTTTGAATTTTTAAGTTTCATTCAGTTTCAAACCATTATTTCCTATGTGTAAAATTCCGAACTCTTCGTCAAAGATATGATTTTCTTCTAAAATATTATTTGAATATGTTGAACTTGTTTTCCTATTTACATAGCTCATATGATGCTCCTGGATTCGATTCCTAAATTTTCTGCCAGTTTGACCAATATACACATTAGGACATGTTCCACACTTTAATTTATATACTCCTGATTTCTCAAATTTAGATGTTTTGTCTTTATTATTTTTAACTAACTTTCCCAACGTATTACTTTTTCTATATGCAATTTTAATATCTCGTTTCCTAAAAAATGAAGCGTTTTCTGTCGTTTCGTAAAAGCCCTATAATTTTTATTTTGATCATCCAACTTATCAATAGGAAAAATGTCTCGAATCGCTTTAGAGTAGTCTTTTTTGGAAAGTATTTTGTTTATTAATTCGGCTTTAAACCCATTGTTTACTGCAATTTGCTTGATGATATTATCTTCTTTTTTGAAATTATCTATTGAAAGAGGACATTGACTAATCTGTGAATCATGCTATTATAGGCTGCTACTAATTGTTAAGTTCAAGAAATTGATTGATTTGAGTTGTCTACCTCTACTTCAATAGTGAATTTAATGTTTTCATGAATTTTGTTCCCTATGAATATTATCTAATTATCTCTCAGTACCTGTGAAACATACCAATATGTAGCAGAAAATCATATCGTTAACGAAGAGGTCCAAATTTTACATATAGAAAATGAAGGTTTGAAACTGAATCATTTGAAAGAAATGGAAATTAATGAACCTAAAAATTCAAACATTCTAATGAATGACCAATTGGATTTGAATAGATCACCATTATTGAACTTGTTTCCTTAAAAAACCGAGGAAGTATTATTATTGATGTAGATGTGGGGTAATATGGTTCAGGTACTCATAATTGAAGAGGTACCTCATGTATATAAACTTTGTAGAAGTTTAGGTAATTTGATGGAAGTAGTCCCAGTTATAAGTTACCTGTGGTATATAAATATTATCGAAAAAATCAACCTGTAGTATTCAAATCACTGTTGAAGAAGCTTCTGTGTTAGCTTAACATGTTGTGATATATTTCTCAAAAAAAATATGTGGAGATCAAATCGTAAGGTGTAGTTTATGAAATTAAGTATTTATTATAGATAAACTTTGTCTTTTACTCTAAGTGACTTGGACGAATCGATCAAAAGTTATCACGATAGGATAAACTTGACGGAACGTAGTAAGCCTTTACGCGTCGCTTATACTGTAAGACGACGGTGGTCGACGCGCGGGGGTAGAGGGGCGATCTGAGCAATGAAGCGCCATCGCCGGTAAACGACAAGAACGCGGGCAGACGTATGAGAGCAGACGTCGTTGACGGTTGTGTTAGTTTTGCGAATTCATTTATAGGTAACATAATTCGATTCTCGAAGCTATTCATTGATTAGTGCAGTTGGCATATTTTTTCAGTAAGTGTATTTTTAAAGTAAAAAATATAAATTACTAGGTATTGCCGCGGTTTCTCCCGCGTAGAATTTGGTTTGTCACGTTAAATTTCGTAACAGATCATTTTAAACAAATAGTTACAATATTTTTTTATCAACCCAAAACTTCAGGTTTCCAACTTCAGAACTGACAAAATTCAATACAATCTTTGAATCCCTATTATTCTTCCAACATTTTAGGTTCAGTATCTTCAGCCATACGTTAATATAAGAGTGTCAGTCAATCAAAAAGTACCCAATTATACAATATTGAATAGAATCAGCAAAATAAAAAACAGTTTGTGAGGATGGATTAATGTAATGTATGTATTTACGTTTTCTTACTTTTTCACGTCTAAACAGCTCCACAGATTCAAATGTGAGTTGGTATATAGATATATCATGACCTGTAACTATTTGTTTGAAATGTTATGTCACGAAACTTAATGTGACAAACCAAATTCTACGCAGGCGAAGCTTCGGGCAACAACTAGTACTGTATATGATTGAGACTACAGCCACATCTCAAAGCCACATGTGTGTCAATTCCTAACTTCTATAAATAATCAATATCCGCAAACATTGCACAGGCCTGCATAGTATCATGGGCTACGGTTGGTCACAGAGGAAATCTAAATAAATGAGATTTATATCATTATTCCGGCACGTGGTACAATTCTTGTGGTGCGCAGCTCATCTGAACTAAATTAAAATTATCGAGATGTATGAATAGATGAATAGAAATCATGTAATAGATTCGTCTATATATCGCGGAATTTCAATAAACTGAGGCCTTCAATAATAAGACCTACTGAAAACAAAACTAGGACGATAACTCAGAGGTATCCAATTAATCATCGGAATGACGAATATTCAACGACTATATTGTCTCGACATTCTTTAGCGTTTCATATTGCGTCAAATACACTGGCAAAGGAAGTAGTCGGATCTGAAAATATGAATAAACAAGTGGAATACTTCGAATGAAACTATTTCAATACGCCAAATCAATCAAATGTGAGCGTTTTGATTCCCTGGCGATATATTCTTGGAACATTCATAATATCTGGTTTATTTTCGGTAGAAAGTTTTTCTCTCACCAACCACTTGGAAAATATTCATTATCTTTCCAACAAAAGATGAAATTTTCTGGGTATTTGCTCTTTGTCGGTTGGCTTTACGTTCATCTCTCCATTGAAACGAGCAATTTTTCGCTATAAAGATTCGATCTTTCGGCATTAATGGCATTTATAACAGTAGTTTGGTTTTCCAAAAGTATCAGAAAAAACTTCGATTCTCACGAAATAACCGTTGTGAGTTCTAGAGTTCTGAAGTTCTGAGTTTTGTACACTCTCCAACAAACGTTTTAGAGCGCAAGAGCAGTGTTTTTTCTTCACGTTTGGAGATCATTCGAGTGTTCACTTGTTGGGTGCCGTCTGGCATTTTTTGAAAACAGTGCAGCCTCATGGGTCTTTTGAGTTTTTTGTCTATACATTGTTTGACCCTGTTTTTCAGTGCCTCACATTCGCAATGAGCAGCTGGTCGTATCTGTTTTTTTCCTGCAATCAGTTACGGCCTTCATTATATATCCCTATTGTACTCAGGTATCTTTTCAATGGATAGTGTCCAGTGAGTAGCCCTGTAATTATTCTGAGCCGATCTCTGGTTTGTGGACACCGTTCATCAGTTTTATTTTTCAAAGATTATCTTCATGAAGATTTCAACGCGTGTGTTTGTTTTCAGCTATATTGTTCCTGTAGTCTTCAGCAGGGGGCGTTAGAATACCCCTGCTGAATGAGGTGTCACCCGTGTAGGTATGAGTCCTTCTAAATGAAACCTCTTCTTGAAATGTGTATCTGTGCCAAAGAGATGCATGACTCTGAATTCACTCTCTGAGTCCAACCATGGAACCTTCGAGATAACAGGCATCCTCTAGTCATAGAAAGTCTTCTAACAGTAATACGGGGCTCTAACATGATGGACCTTCTTTTCCTAGTTACTTGTAGGAACCTAATACATCATATAGTAACCGAAACATCTTGAGTCTACAGAGGATATGGACGTTGACAAACGACCCCAACAGTCCTCTCTGTAACAAAGAATTGAGAGAAAGAGCTTCTCAGTTCCCCAGCCTATATCACCTATTACCTAAACGTATTACCTTCAGAACTCTGAATTGTTTATCGGAAATACATATTAACATCATTTAAACAAAAATGCATCGCACTTAGGGATATAGTGTTGGCTGAGATGAACAGGAGAGCATGTCAATATCGCAGTTATGCTTTCTGTATCAACTTAAATGTACAGAGTGCTAAAGTAGGTATCCACGTGATTAATGAATCAATTGAGATTTTAACAACCGAATTGACGTTCTGGCAAAGAAAAGAAAAAACATTATTTGACTACTATGCTGGTTGCAAAAAAAAACCGACAGAGTTTTCAGTGTAACCCCAGGAATATTAGTTCTTGAATGCGTATGAATTTGTATTCAGAACTCAGTAGATTGTCTCTCAGAAGTAGAAAAGTTTTCCGTATTCAAATTGTTAAATATAAAAATGATATTATTCTGTGGCACTTTTTCAAAATATCACTTTCTTTCGAAAAATTTAAGGAAAAGTGTAATTACCTCCCAAAGTCATAATCTCCCATAACAATATTCCATACGACCACACATCTGATTGTGTCGTGTAAACTCTGTGGAATAAAGCCTCTGGTGCCATCCATTTCACTGGAAGTCTTCCATCTGTTGTTTTTCGATAGTAGTCGTTGCAATGAATATCCCGAGCTAATCCAAAGTCAGCTATTTTCAATATATAATCCTCGCTAACTAAAACGTTCCGAGCTGCTAAATCCCTGTGGATGCACTGAAAAATCAAATTCGTTAAAATGAAGGCGAACCATTTTTCAAATATATTACTCTTCTAGATGCCAAATATTCCATGCCTCTCGCAACTTGATACGCAAATGACACCAAATCCTTCTGTGTCAACGTTTTCTTGTCCTTTTTTTCCCCAACTGCTAACTCATATCCTGATGATGGTCTATGTTGTCTCAAGAAATCTCTTAGGTTGCCATGAGGTGCATATTCCACAACAACATACAGTGGTCCACCCTGCGTACAACATCCCAGAAGATTTATTATATTGATATGTTTTCCTATCATCTTCATCATTTCCATTTCAGACACTAGGTCCATCATTTCGTTGTCTGTATGGCCTTCTGCAAAATAAAGGAAGTTGCGGAGATACTGATATTTAGAATTCATATTCCTCCTACCTTTCAACATTTTGACTGCAACTATGCTATTGCTTCCGGGCTTCAAGAGGTTCATAGCGTCTGCTTTCACCACTTTTCCAAAGGCGCCTTCGCCAAGATTTTTGCCAAGGCATAATGTTTCCCTAGGTATTTCCCAGTCTGAATCCATTGGAAGTTCGTATTCTGATATCATTCCATCACCGTAGTTGTTCGCTTGTGATTTCTGTTTCTCAATTTTAACAACAGGCATCAACTGAAAATTAACAAAAATTGATAGCTGCCATTTAAATGAACAAACCGGAATAAATTCAACAGTATGCCATCCATATGGCAAGTTTTTTCTTGTTGAAATATAGGGTTTTTTGGGAGAGAAAGTTTTTGGCTTTCTACTACTTCATCTTGATACAAAAAAAGGATGAGGGAATCTTCCAAAGAAAGGAAGGAAGTAATCAATTTGAAAATAAGTAACTCTATACATGGATGTGTAGAACTCATGTGAATGATCTCTGATTTTTATTCCACAACGAATATTTGAAATACAAATTGAGTAGGGAAAAGTATCTTCTGTATAATCCAGTGTTCATATAAAAGTATTTGTTTCGAAAGAATGTTTTTCTTTCGTGTAATTCAATGTTTATATGAAAGTAGCTGTTTCAGGAGGACATTTTTTCAGTTTGTGTCTGAAAGTTACTTCTTTGCATGATCTACACATCCATGTATAGAGTTACTTATTTTCAAATTGATGAACAGATATAGAATTCAAAACACGTTCCACCCATTTTACGGTCGCCATTATCGTCCTACCGAGAGGACTATTCGCAATGTGGTGGATGAATTTGAGTCCACTGGTTCAGTAAACGATCTACCAACACTCGTACGTCAACGAAACACAAGATCTGCCGAAAACATCGCCGCTGTCTGTGAACGTGAGATTCATTTCTCGATGTATAGATACGAGAACAAACAAAATTGTCAAATTGTCGAATTTGGGACGATACCAATCCACATGAGATTCAAGAGCGTCCAATGCATCCGAAAAAAGTCACTGGTTGGTGTGTATTTTGGGCTGGTGTTGTCAAAGGTCCATATTTCTCTAAGGAAGATGTGCCAGGCCATCACAGTCAACGGCGAACACTATAGCACTATGATTTCCAATGAATGTGATAATCTGGACAACAACGACATGTGGTTTCAACAGGACGGTGCTATGTGCTATACAGCTCATGCCACATAGGATATTCTGCACGAACAATTTGAGGGCATGGTCATCGCACGTGGAGGTGATGTGAAAGGCCAGAGATCGAGATCGTGCGATATGACCCCGTTAGACTTTTTCTTGCGGGGTTTTCGTGAGTCGCAGGTGTGAGCAAATAAACCACAAATCACAGCGGTACTCAAAGCCAACATTGGAAGTTTCGGAAGCACTCCACCCATAGGAGCCGTGGCGGACATTTGATCGATGTTAGATTCCACACTTTATGGCATCAATAGAAAGCGCTTAATGAAAGACCCTATAAAAAGCTCAACTTTAGAATAACCAACATCTACCACTTCGTAAATCTTCGAAGTGCTTTGTGGAGAAATAATACTCGATATAAAACAATGTAATGATCATAACTTTCTATTGTTTTTATACATAGTGAAAACTAAATAACCAATGATAATCTTGGAGGAAATGATGACAAGATAATAAGATATTTTGAATAGTTTTTGTTGCAAATCATGCCAGTTGATAAACATACACTGACAATAAATAACAAAGTTAAGGTTATTCAACCACAAGTTGACAAAAATCTCGTCAGTTCTAAAAAAACAGAATAGTTTCATTTCATATCCTACCAGTGGTTCTGTGACATTTTCCGATGCATTATTAATTTTTTCTATTATAACTTTCTTCGTCCATTGAGTAACTATGGCAGCTCTTGCAGTTTCAACAGCGATCATTTTTTCTCTCTTCTCTCTGGAAAATAAACAAACTCCTGTAATGTCGCAACTTTCATGCAGTTCAAATATTACCGTTTAATTTTCTGCCGATAGTGAATGCAGATGAAGACTATAACGAATGTGACAGATACAGCGAGGATTCCTATAACTATAAGAATTGTTCCCAAGTGCCTCGATTGTTCCAATTCTACCGGAGCTTAGGAAAAAAGTAATGTAGTTATTGTTGAATATATTGGGAAATCAACAATGGTTGAACTTACATTTTGGATACATATTTTGTTAGTTATGTCTGTTCCAATCGATAATCATTTTTCAACACAAACTCTTCGAAGAAATTTGTCAGCGATTTAAAAAAACTGAAGGAAGAGTATTGTGTATAAGTATTTGGTTCCCTGATCAGCGAAATGGAAGAAGTGGTAACAGATGCTATTCATAAAGAATAGCTAAAGCAGAAAATGGAAAAGCTTATGCCTGAGCAACTTTTAGGTTACAATCAAAACACTAAAGTAATTGGGGAAATTATTGAATATTCTATAACCCAAAAGACAGTTCTACATTTCAATAAGTAGACTTTAACAAAATACATTATTGTGGAATGCACATTGCACATTAAACAGTTCACAAAACCGTAACATCACATCATGGGTAACATCACCCATAAATAATCATCTCGCGAAGGAATCAGTCCAGTCATCACCCGAAGACGATTGTGGATACTAACAATCGAACCGTTGTGACATAATTTGGTTTGAAATCTTTTAATTTTTATTTTTTAATTTTTTGTTAATAATTCCACTTTGTTATTCTTGCTATTATTATTATTTGTTAAAGTAGAATTGTTTCAAAAACATTTGCTGTTTCATGGATGAATTGTTTCAATTTCGACTCAATGTAAAACTACAGCCTCAACGCGTCATTGCATTTTTTCTTCCATCTTTTCATCACACATACTCCAACAATTTTATTCCGAGTACTATTAGGTTGTTGCAAATGTTTTGTCCCTTTATATGACTCTACTTTAGACTGTTAATACCTCAGTGAATACTTATTCAGCTCAATCGAAATAAGTTCCATTTGAATTAGTGCAATTTTGCCAACGTCGATCAATTCCGTCAGCATTAAAATTTGATTCTCGGGAATCGATAAAGTCGACGAAGGCCGTTTTGCCTGGTCATAATTGGCAAAGGTTCTATTGGTGAGAAAGTTGTAGGAGTGATTGAAAATTAGTAGTTGGTTGACGAGAAATCTGGGGAGTATGGTGGATGAGGCAGAACTTCGACGCTCGATTCGTTTAATTTTCGGACGATGATTTGTAAATCGTGCGGAAGGGCGTTGTCGTGGAAACCGATGAGCCTGGGTGACTGTCCTGAACGTCTTTTGTTGTCGTAAAGTATCCACTTTTCATCACACGTGATGATCCTATCCGAAAAAAGGATTGTTTTGGTTGCGCGAAAGCAAAGAAAAGACGTCACAACGTGATAGTTCATCCATCAGAGTCCTCAAATCCTCATCTGAAGGTCGACCACTTCGGGGCTTCGAGCCCAAGTTCGCCGGAACGAAATTTTGCAAACTAATGTTGAACAGTATGTTCATTGATGCTATTGTTGCCAAATGCTAGGGAAATTTGTCGGACTGTTTCAGCAGCGCTTTGCTTCAATTTAAATTCGCAGTGAAAAATTATATAGTAATAAGCTTGAAGCTGAGATATTGAGCTACAAAAATATGTGACATTGAAACCGACAAAACTTTCGAAATTACCCTATAATTTTTCAATCACATTTCCTACTTCGATGATCCCAGTGTCTCCGTATGAGCTGTCCCTGGCCCTTTTTTGTATTGCCTGCAGCTGAGGTCCCAATTCTTAAGGGTTATGTTGTTCGCGTATCCTTTGAATGGACAGTGCTCAGTGAGTAGCCCTCTACTATGTCGTCTCAGTAAGTTATTCCAGTAATTGTTCTATCTCATTTCATTTCAGTGAGTTACTGTCCTTCTTTCTATATTTTCTGGGAGGCCGCAGCTTCTTTATAGATTAAGTTGATCAACAGTAGCCCTAACTGCATTTATGTCGGTAAAACAACAAAACATCTGCATTTCTTTGGTAAAATAAAGATCAAAAATTAGGTGTAATGTAAAGTTATGCCATAGAAAGCTAATTGTCTTTACTAAAACTTTTTGCAACATATTTTTCAAATGTACGAGGGCTTTGCACAAAAGACACAGTCAGTCTCCTAGTTAGACCTTGAAATAGTCTGACAGTCCCTTCTGCTATAACAAAACTTCACACAACTTCATCATATCATCCTTTCATGTTATTTTTTACAAAAACCAATAAGTCCGTTTATCCACGTATTTTTGATACTGATCTTTCTGAACCCATATCAGTGAAATCTTTGCAAAAATGAATCTCAGATGAAATAAAAGAGCTGGAAGATCAGAAAATAGTTGGAATGTGAACCATTTCCAATATCCACCATATGCAGTGTACTTTTTATTGGAGAACAACTACTGTCAGAGAAATCATGGTTCTGTGTGTGCTTGAAACTATTATCTTGAGCTGGGATCTCCAATATCATTTATCGTATTCAAGTGGTCGTCGATGGATATCTTTCGAATACTTCCACCATCAACGCTGGTGTTTCCCAGGGATCCATATTGTCTCCAACCCTCTTTTTACTGTATATCAACGGCTTATTGGAAAAAAACAAGAATCGAATATATTGCTTTGCTGACGACAGCACACTTGTCTCATCATTATATTTGAATTCCAGGACATCAGCTACGGAGGCACATCTTCACAGGCAGCAAGAGGTTGCATATCTTAATGAGGATCTAGAAATGATTTCGAATTGAGGTGAAAGTAACCAGGTTCAATGCCACAAAAACTCAGGCATCGGTTTTCCCCAAGTAGATAAATGTCTCCGAACCGGATTTAATAATGTCAGGTCAGACAATTCCGCTTTCTGCTTTGATAACTTTGTTGGGGGTTAAAATGGTCGCCGGAACTGCAAAGGCTTTCAGTGTTAAGATCTTCGTTCGGGTTTGAATGCCGTTGTGGTTTGGAACTATATCCTAACGTTGTGGGTGGCTTCTTCAGAGGTGTATTCTTCCTGATGGTTCACCGATGACTCGTGATTTCTAGTTCGTAAGTTGTATTTATGCTCGCTCATGTAGCCCGCCTTTCTTGTTGATGCGTTGCTTTTGGCCGCAGTGTTATTACCTGTTGATGTTATTATCTTCACAGAAGTATTTTCTGCATGGAATATCATCAACTTTAGGTTGATGATGTTCGTGATTTCTAGTTCGTGAGCTGTATTTATGTTGACACCGTTCTAGTTGGTGCGTTGTTATTGGCCGAAGTGTTATTACCTGTTACATTGCGTTGCACTGCTACCACCTTAGCATCTTTCACTATGGGATTCCAAATTTGGTCAAGCATTATCGCCTCCTCTTTTCTGTTGTAGTTTTCTGTATTTTTATGGATTTCTATAGCTTCCCGTACAAGCCGACTGTGGTATCCATGATCGGGTGCAAGTAGTTCCACATCTTCAAACAGTGTCGTATGATCTCCTTCACTAAACGCGTGTATCTAAGAATAACATCAGATCCTGCTTCAAAAGCAGATGAAAAATTCATAGCAACTTCGCGAAATAAAAACCATGAAATGTCGATGGCGATCCATATATTTCAATTAGTGGATAATTTGTGATTTTGACGAAACTGAAACGCCAATGAACACCAGAAAAACACCAAAAGAAAAATACATGAAATATTGGAAATAAATTGAATACATATGGAACATTCGGCAAAAACTCATGAAAAAATAAAAATTTTTAATATTTATTTCAATATTGAAATACACCAGGGTCTGTGTGGAATATATCAGAAATAGCAATTATGTGTTTTTTACTGGATTACCTATTTCACGATTTTTAAAATATTCTTTTTAATGTCTGTATAATAATATGATTCATTCATTTCGTAATTCGTCGACTAAAATAGACAAACATTGAAAAGTGATACTTTACCTTCTCATTTTCGGCACAAATGAATAAACTCAAGAAATTTTAAACGAAGTGGAATGATTCAATGATTTAAAATATACGTTTACATACACTTGTATTATTCTAGTAAGTTGAAAATGAATGTATGTCCAACCATTGTGTCAACTATCAATATCAAATACTCACCAGGTTCCTCATCTACAACCTGAAGGTAGCCCTTGGAGACTGTGGTACCAAGGCTATTCGATGCGAAACAGGCATACCATCCTTCATCTTCATGAGTAACATTGGGTATTATGAATATTTCTTGGTTTGTATTCCCATCATTACTTTTCTAGCGGAAAAGTAATGAATCAGTCAAAAAATTTAAGATTTCGCAAAATAAATTGATGGATGTAGCCGTTAACTACGTGGTAGGAGATCATAATGAAAAGAGAAATAAAAATTTCTATGTTTTTTACCACTTTTATTTGTAAAAAAACATAGAAATTTTCATTTCTCTTTTCATTTTTCGCAAAATGTCAACCAAAATAACTTCTGAGACTGTGTGAAAAGTTGTACCTATGGATTTTCCATGAAGAATGTGACTATTTTAAATATTACAAAAACAGTATTTCGTCAGTACTCAAGAGAATTTCTACTATTTTCTTCTCTATCTAAAATTCGAATACATAATAACGATATCTTATTTGTAATGAGTCGTGTCAAATTACTCAGTAACTTATTTCATTTCTATCAGTGTCTCCTTTGAAAATTTGATTTCGACTTGCTGCAATCTAGCAAGATCCAATAAAAAAACAATAGTGAAATGAATAGCATTCGAAAAACTCAAGCCAAGCCTGTTTCTTTTCGAAAGTTGGATTCAAAACTTATCAGAGGTCGGTTTTATCTCAGAAATTAATTACAACACTCTTTCAGTGCATAGTTCTATGCTATTAGAAATTAAAGTCAATCTTGAAACTCAATTTAATAATTTTTGGGCTCTTGCAGAAATATTGACATGGTGATTTTCAGCTTTTGTTAAAAGTCAGGTTAAAAAACAATAGTCATTTTTTTCAACTTCAATACTATTTTGTTGCCAGAGAAAGCAATGATAATTTATTTGTCACAAACTTTTTTGAAATTTTTGATATATTTTAACATCTTTGTTACAGTTTAAATATCACAAATTGAATTTTTTTCTCCACCAGTCTCTGAAATAACCCTGATTGACACCTAAATTCAATTACATGGTGTCTACGTTATACCACTTACATCAGTTGAGCACAAAAATATATTCATGCAAATTAAATAAAAAATTAGCACAAGTTTTGTTCTAATCAACACATTGTATTGTATCATAATTAATAGGATTTCAAGCTAGAGACATGCTGATGATTTTAATGTCAACTCTTAGTCAAATAATGTTATGATTTTTTCATTCTGTATAAAAAACATTAAGTAAATGTTCAAAGTTTCAAGAAAAATCATTCCATCAATTATTTGGTATAACTCTATTGAGCACTGGAAGCGCAAATTTTTAATTAGTAGGCTGGCAAGAAATTTTCAATTCATAGTATCATCTATATTATTTCTAAGTATATACCTGGAGGACTGTAGTATTACAGTCACTCAAATCAGTGTGAGAACAATTAGTAGGTTCATCAATGAACCTTGTCCATGTTATAAATGGGTGTAAATCCGAAACGACTTCGCAGGTCATGGTAACGTTGGACCCAGAAGCAACCGTTGTATTTTCAAGTCCTGTTGTTAATATAGGAGTGTTGTGATATCGCTCTAGAAAGGAAATTCACCATCACCATACATATAACAAATATAAATTATATACCAACAAAGCCCACCACCTCAAATTAGACGAGTACCATCACCATGAGCATACATTTATTGACGAACTTTGGTCTTTTCGACCTTGAAAACAGAGTATTCCTTGAGTAAGTTGCAGATTTAAATGATTTGTTCTTTGAGTGAAATACGAATTTTTTCTGAGATCAAGCCTGAAAATCAACATAATTTATTATTCTGGTGAGTCAGTTTCAATGTCATTCATAGCCAATGGTATATGTAAATGAATAGGGCCTTGATGTGGAAGTGAAATAAGTCATCACGCACAGAACACATTTATTCGTGGAACATCCAGTGAATATGTTTTAATCGCAATTTATCATTCAGAGCATGCTTTTTTAGAGAAATTAATTTATTAAACAACTTCCAGCCTTGTTGGTGACAATTTCACCCCTTTAAAAGTATATTTATACTGATATGTAATGAAATACTTGGGTAAATAGGTAACGTATCTGATTGACAGTTTATTTCACTAAACGATTGTCTCCAGACTTCAAATTGGAACTTCTACGAACTGGATGAACCTTGGCTGAAAAGGGTATAAAATCGATTATTACTGGATGGGTCTAGTCATGCTCATAAATATACAAACGCCCACGACTCTTTTTCTCATTTTGTGTGCACTCCTGAAAGACATTTTGCTTGATGTATTCGACCATAGAGTGAGATCTACAAACTGATAAAGACGATTTTGCCATCTTGGCTAATAACAAGTCGGTAGTTTCTAATATCGTCCAAATTACGTTGAACGATGTTTATAGTTCATGCCAGAAGGAGCATATTCCTGTAAATTTCTTCATCGGGAGAAAGATACGATCCACTTTCATTCAGTGGTGAGATTATTCCACTCGCAGCGGAAATGAAATATCTTGGTATCATTCTTTATAAAAAACTCACTGGTGAAATGCACAACAACACAATGCCAGACTATCCTTTTAGACATTGTAATATTTGGGCTCAAGGATAAACAATTTGCCTCCCACTCCACAGTCGATTGTCTGGGAAAGGCACTACCCACTATTCCCACACTAGAATCCACAATGTCGGAAATTACTTTGAAACAGCTCAATATCAACAAGGCATCTACGCCTGATGAAGTGCACATCATCCTGTCTTACAAGGAAGGGATTTTTCCTTCTTGTTGGAAGATTGCTCGCGTTCAGCCTACTCCCAGAAAGAGCAAAACAAATCTTCGAAATAACTGTAGATCATTCGCTGTGCTATCAGTGTTATCAAAAATCATAGTGAAAGCCGCAAACCACCACCTTAGATATTGACCTTAGATCGTTCAATATAACATATTGAACGATCATCAATATGGCTTTCGGAAACAAAGATCAACAGGCGACCTTCTATCGTATGTCACCCATATTTGGAAAAACGCAATCTAGAAACATAGAGAATCAAGAGCTGTTGCACTTGATATTTCTATGGCGTTTGCTGGTCAAACTTTCATGCTATGGCTTGTCGGATCATTTTTGTGTATGGCTCTCCAGCTTCCTGAAAAATTTTTTTACAATATTGTTCTCATGTATGGAGCTCCCCCTAAGAAAACTTTGAAGTTGCTGGATTCCATCCAGAAAAAAGCCATCTCCTGATTGGAGATACGAACATCACGTGCAATCTTGATAGTCTGGAACATCGAAGAAAGGTTGGAGATTTGTCTCTCTTCTATAGATACTTTCACGGGAAGTGTTCAAGTAACTTGGCACATTTGATTGCACCAAGAGGGGTACATATCAGAAGTACGCATCGGACTGTGGCTTCACATTATTTTGAGGTTCAACTCAGTACACCTCGAACTGCATTGTTTGAGAACTTTTCAATTTGGAGAACTGCGTTTATGTGGAATCAACTTCCTGAGAGAGTTTTTTCAAATGAATTTAATCTCCAGCGATTCAGATTCAACGTTAATCTCTACTTTCGCACAGGCAATGCTCTTAGAGCACCTTAAGGTTTTTGCTGTAGTGCTTTGTAGTGTTTTGATTTTTGTTAAAATTTTTGCTTTTTTCAAATTTGGAAAAAAATGACAAAACACAGACCAACTCAAAAAATGCCGTTAATCAAAATGTTCTAATAAAACATGACTGGAGGATGATTTTGGAAAAAAAAACATGCTCGATAAAATTTTATGAAAATTGAATGCCTTCTAATCAATATGGAACACAGCATTTTGGAATATATCAGACATTAATTTAGCACATTTTCGACAATGACAATGAGATTCGCTGTGCTTCTTGCAGAAAAAACATCGTTTTCCCATTCCGGATATGTTGTAGATAATCTGCAACTACTGTATTTACTTTTATTTGTGCTCGACGTTTTCATGGTTTTCATAGTATAGACGCAAGTTTCTTCAATCTCAATCTCTGATTCGTTGTCAATGTGAGCATCTTCAGTTTCAATTCCATCAGAAAGACGCTGAAGATGCCCTTTTTCTCTCTCAAGATCCATCTAAAATTCGAACTATCACCTTTGAAATTCATATAAATCGCAGTAGCAAATCCAAAAACAAAACTATCGCTCCGGTCTGTTAGATTTTAACGCGCAATAACTCGAAAGGTATAACAAGGTTTTTAGAGCAACTGACAAAAGTCAGAACAAAATTGAAGTTAGAATGATTTACAGTAGTTCGCCCAATAATATTAATCTTATCATATATATTTTGAGGAAATTCCGTTTTCTATAGTTTCATCATTTTTACCGACTACGGTAAGCTGAAAGAAAGGGTTACAACCAATTTTTAACAGCATACTTGTTCTGTTTGTATTCACGTATGTTCTACAGAGCCCATAATGATGATTGATGTCTCAATCGATTTGTTACGTGTATCCCATTGATGAGTTTACTGAATTTCAATACTTCGGACTCACCCTGTAGATACAAAAGCGACAAATTTTCCGAGTCTGAATTTTACATGCTAAACCTGACCTAATTTTCATTTATTCACGGTCTGAACATCGATCTGTGACGGTTTTAAATCGCTTTTTTAATTCGCCTGGTGTTCAATTTCCCTCTCAATTTTCTATGAGAATCTTCATAATTCACTGGATGTGCCTCGAAAAATGCATTACTGATGTCCTATAATAGTGTTGAAACTATAGCAGTAGGTGAAATATTTTTTTATCCCAACAGTGTTACTGTATCGTCAGATGAGCCTTTATAGGTCCATGTGTTCAAATTGGAATTTGTATCCTTCGTGAATGAGTATCATTCATTTGTTTTCTACGAAACAGTAATCAAATATTTTATAATCGGAAAGTATTCAATATTTTCCAGTTGAAGGAAATAGAGTTAGTTATGCATATGTCGAAAACGAGTGCTGAAAATCCTGAATTCTGAATACAAAATTCATTCATTTTGTAGCTGAAAAATAATTATTTTTTTTGTCTACTGAACAGTACCATCAAAATTCTGCTTGCCTATACTCACGAAACACACACTATAATGAGCATCTCGATGGATTCATCTACACATTGTCAACACTTAAGATTTATTCTGGAATTCAGTTTTCAATGTGAATGTATCACTTCCATTTACATGATGGCAATAATGGCAACTCTCAAAAATTCAGAGTCGACTTGGGCGTTCCAAAGCAGAAATCATACCGGTATTCAATATTGCGGTGACTTCGTGAATGAAACTCACCATCTAACCAGCTACCAACTGACCACGTTCTGGAAATAATCTCAATTGCTTCCTAGCATATAACAGAGAGACCTACCAGCAGTGTATGTATTCGATGTTTCGCCATCATTTCAGATGACATTAACAAGACTTGTTAACAAAACTCCTGCTTTATGAGTACCTAATGTTTGATGATTCTTGTATAAGTTATGGTGAGGTGTTTCCTTATTTATTTACTCCGATACCTGAGTGGTTGAGATACTACTTACTACAGGTAATTCAATTACTTCTGATGACTCATTAATGCGTTATAGGTTGTCTTCATTCATTTTTGCTTGATGTTTTCCAAATCATCGTAATATCAAATGAGTCACATTTTTTGATAATTAGCCCTTGCTTTTCGATAGCATCTTCAATTTGTAGGTTTTGTATTGTGTCTACTACTGTATAAACCTTCTTTGCAGCTACTTAAGAATAAACAAGTGCATCGGATCTTCTTTATTGAAGGTTTTGTAGTATTGACACCTGTGCTGCCTCCAACTACGAATCCGTTGAAATTATCCACACTATGTAGTGTTGAAACGGATAGTCCGACGATATTTGGGCTCCTTAACATATTCAAAGTCTGCTCATTAACCAGTCACATAACCTAATAATAGTGACTAGCTTTACTTCACTCAGTTAGCGACCGGAACCTGCCATTTGCTGGAAATAAACATCAACATTCACTCCCTCGGTAGAAGGAGAAAATTCCTTCTTTCCAATAAAATAGGTATACGACATTACGTCTTATAAAAACACATGAATTTATCTTTGCCCATAATCTCTTATCATTAACAATCCTGTCAGTACAAAGTCCTGTGTCATTGAAATTCTTCATTAGAATCATAGTGAAACCATCAAAGAGAAAGTCGTCATGTAGCCATGAGGTTCCCAAACTTATTTTTATCATAGACCACTATCAAAATTTTGCTGGTTCCGGTGGTCCCCCTGCAGCTACATTTCTACCATATTCCCAAAACTTGACAAACATATGTGAAGATTGGATCTAACTATGGAAATAACAGTTTTCGAATAAAAAGTTGTATTTCGTTCTTTTCGCACGTTTGAACAAGCTTTGCGGACGGCGGCAGCGGCGGCGCTTTGCAAGTCTCTACACGTTATACTGAATATGGAATTCGCAAGTTTTTACATACACATCGATAGTGAAGTCAAGCCAGCATTTTAGTTCTTCACTATCGAGACCAGATAAGTTTTCGTGGACCCCCGCTTATGAATTGTGGACCCCCATTCTTTTGCATGCCAGCGTAGACCCCCGTCCAGTCTCTCGTGGACCCCTGGGGGTCCATCTGGACCACTTTCGGAATCACTGATGTAGCCCATGGAATTACCTGCTCAATAACATTTGTCGGCAATAATATCCATATTGTTCAGGAGATTACAGCACATCTTATTGTATCTAATGTCAAGACTGACACGAAGCAAAGTTATAATTGAGAACCCATCGAAAAACTCATTATTTAAACAACTTTTATGATCATAGTACGCCTTTGATGATGCTCTTTTAGAAAACTCGGGATTTGTTGATACAAGCAATAAAGAAATTGTTATAAATACATATACCCTAGACAGATTATCAGTGGACATTGACAAAAGTAGATTTACCTGACTACACCACATATAAACACAAAATAGCCCAAATAACAAAACTTCCACAATAATTCCAAGATAAAACAAGTAATTTATTACTCATTCACTGAGTTTTTGTGAGTCTTCTTCCGAAATTTTCTGTACTCTCTTTCGGAACAGTAGAATAGACACCATTTCATTCAATTTAGTTTGGACAACGGTTTTTGAGACATTTTTACTCATCGTTGCAAAGTATTTTATTACGAACGAGCATAACTGTAGTATTATGAGTATCACTTTGGTGGAAAATCACTACTAGGTCAATGCTCTTGAAGATACGAATATATGAAGGAATATTTGACAGCTGTCATTATAAACACGCCTTTCTTTTAAGCCATGAAATAGAAGAGCTACAGTTCATCAATTTTGAAAACATTACTTTTCATTCGGGATATATTTACAACAAAAATCCTTCAAAACGTTTTAACGCTGTCACTGATGGGGAGCAAATACATTGTTGACTTTGATGGTGATCACTACTGCATCAAGATGCAATTTGTAAATTTATTTTGTCGCTATATCTGTCAGAATAGTAATTAGGAATATAAGGAAAGATTGATATTTTCCAGCATATCAAACTCTACTAGACACGATTATCACTTCGTTTCTATAATACTTCCAATCTCCGCCTTTATTTGTTTGCGGCAGGAGGTTTAGAGTCAATGAAAACGTGTTTTATCTTGGAATTCAGAAATGCGAAAAACGAAGATTTATCTGCCATCACCGTATCCCTTAATTGAAAAAAATCTTTAACCTGTTCCGTCCAGTTGCTTTTACTATAATCGTCGCTCATTTCTGTCTGATTTTCTGCTCTGAACCATTGTATATATGGTTCCAAATCTACAAAGACTTGAGGACATTCGAAAGTAGCATTTGTGTCTTTCAAAACCGTAATGTTCTGAGGATATCCTTCTTTGATATAAGGTTTGGAAGGAAAACGTTCTGTTCAATGAGAAATAAATGTATTTTCAAGACGACTAAATATAATATTTTATAATGCTTACCAACGATGTCTACGACAAAGGTGAAGTCAATGCAGCCAACAATATTACAAACAAGACAGGTGTAATTTCCTTTGTCATCCAGTGTCGACTCTTCCAAAGTTAAAGACCAATGGCTTGTCTTGATGTCACCCATGGTTCTTGAAGGTGGTGTTTTATTTTTGCTAAACCATGTTATGTTTGGTGTTGGATATCCTCCAGCTTTGCAGTTTAAACGAAACATATTACCAGCTGGTCTCACCACTAATTTCTTCATATTTTTCAAGAAATGAGGCGCTTCATAAACAGTAACATTGAACTTCTTTATCAAGGTGTCTCCATTTCTGAAGCATGCATACAATCCTTGATCTTGGAGAGTTACTGGATTGAATTCCAGTGTGTCTACATCTTTCTGAAATTATTCGTTGAAAATAAATAAAAATAAAATAATAATAATCATACATTTTGCTTTGCTCCAGAAGTGAATGATTTGGGATGAGAAAATGAGAATTACTTTGAGTTATTGAAGGAATGTATCGATGAAGTTAGTTTGGTTAGGTTAGGTCCAAAGTAAGTGGGTCTATTCGTCCCTCCACCGCAACCCGCAAGGGTTTATTGTGGCTCACACGCATTCACAGCCGACCAATTAAACCCAGCTCATTAACGAAGCAGAGTAGTTTGTATGGCGAGTGGTTTTTCAGGTCAGATGAAAAGAGTACAGCTCTGCCGAACTCTAAAAACCTGATTCGGTCCCCGGCGGGGCAGGCACGAAGTAGCTCTGCTGTTTCATCATTTTCCAAACAGAGTCGACACACACTGTATTTTGACAGTCCGAGTCTCTGCATATGATGATTCAAATGACAGTGACCTGTAAGAAGGCCTGTTAGACATCGTAGTTCATCCCTACTGTAGTCCAACAACTGTTTGGTATTCAAGTTTCGAAGGGTGAATAAACGCCTTGGAGTGAGCCAATCCTGGAAGTTAGGTTAAATCCATTACTTTATAATTTTCCAGAATGTAATTGAAGAAAAGAAGCACGGGTCATGAAGGAAAATATAAAATATGCAATCTTGAGAGCACTGTTTCAAGACAAAGTAATTGGGTGTAAGGATTCAGGGTAATGTGTAAGGGTTATAATAATGAAGTCGTCAGTAAATATGGTAATAGCGATATGTTCATGCAAGAAGAAAAATTGGGAAAAAGATAAATAATAAAAACATTACATGGAGGAATGAATACAGAAAAGAATTGGAGAAGAAGAACTAGTGAAGAATTGGAAAATTTATATAAAATATCGAACATATCAGCAATTATGAAAGCCAAAAGAATCATATTGATAGAACATCCTTACAGGTTTAAAATTACAGAATAACCAAGATCGTTGAAAACGGTACAAAAGGATTTGCGAAAAATAAACGTTCTGAATTAGAGAGATAAGGTAAATTGGTTGGGAGGAGTAGTGGGGGAAGACGAAGACCGACTAATGAAGTATACAAAAAAGCAAGCAACCGATCAAATGTATATATACAATGTAATAGCTATTTGAGAGCTGATATTGAATGAATATTACGTGAACTCATGACATTTCAAGTCACTAGATCAAATCAGAAACATTCGTTAACAAACACCAGACCGTGCTATGTCGACCCGCATAGGTCAGTGGTGCTAGGCTGAACGACGAATGCATTGTTAGACTCATTTTTCTGTTAATTACAAGTCTGAGTTCAGATAGGTATGGACATCTTCTCTTATGAAGTTGCCATCATAGGATTGACTGAAAACTCCAACCTTACTTATACAAGGCAATCAAGGGTTTCCAGGGCGGTCTGTCTGTCTGGTGATTCAACTATTGGATGGAAAATCATCTTCCGTCTTTTTCTGCAGTTCCCAACCAGACTTTATACTCAGGCTCGTTCTTTAAAGGCAGGTCGAAAGAGTGATATTTGGTTTTGGGACTTTTTGGCGGCAAAAAACAAATATTTTTTGCCGAGTTGTTTTTAGGAGAAAAATTTCTATTCAATGAATATTCTCGCTGGTTTTTTACCTGCACATTCTTCCAAGTATCGTTAAGGATTCTCCATTGAACCTTATCTTTCACAGGACACTGAAGAACCAAACTGTTATTCGAGACGACAGTTATGTTGTCAAAGTTGTCACTAGTGTAATTTCCATCAATATACTCGGCATCTGAAAAAAATATAACTGTGCTGTTCAACTTAATATTAGGAATATGTAAATTCACAACAGATATAGAATGAGATCAAATTCAGATGCACTCCTTAACAAGTTATGCAGTGCGAATGACAAAAATTGATGTCTTAAAAATTATTTTGGTAATGTCGCAAATAAGTAATGAATGAAATTCTGAAATATTCAGTTTTGTATGTGTTTTGTATTATTAATTGCATGTGTTGAAATGTGTTTTTACGTTAACCAGCTGTCGCCCCTTTGAAAACGATAACCCTCAGAAATCAGAACTTGCGCTAGGCAACGTGCATTTTCTTGCCAGAAAGCGATTTTTTGTTAAAAACTGATCGCTCCTAAATATCAATTTGGACTTCAGAGAGTTTATGAGGTTATAATCCCTACGGAGATTAAGAGAGATTGAAAAATTATTCAATATTTGGAAAAAAATTAGATAATTAGGTTTCTTCGAATTTTAATTTATGATTCCTTTCTTTGGGTCAGTTATTCAAAATGTCTTCAGTTAAGATTAAACTTCATCTTGAAGATGATCACTTGGTGATCGAAACACGTGTTGAGGTGTTTAAAAAACCATTTGGTGTTGGGATTAAACTCCAGTAATATTTATAACTACACCAAAGGTTCTAAACAGTGCATCACAACCAAAGATAGCTAAGTATATACTTTTTTTTTCTGGGTTATTCAGTTTGTGAGCAAGATAAATGAATACAACGAATTATTGACTAATTGGGCCATTTAGTGGTTTATATTACGCAGTAACATTTCGGGGTTAGCTTTTCAGTTTGACTTTTTTGAGGGAAGAATCTCCCCGTAAGGACTCAATAACTTTGTACATTTTACAAAATAGATTTTTTCATGGTGTATGTCTAACGTTGTTGCCTGTCGTTTCGTCTTCAACGAAGGCGGACATTATCATTGTATCATCGCTTTTGATAATGACGTTACAGGCGAAACATTAGGACCAAATTGCTGATAAACCCGACAACAGCCAGTAGTCTGGCCATTCCGTTTTTCTTTCTAGTGGTAAGTGCTTATTACTTGTTCATTGTTAGATGTTACCGACCAAAGTTTGTTCAAGGTTTTGATTCAAATTGCTTTAGCAAAACCTTCACAAATGCTGATTTTTCTGATAATCTATAGATTTTTCTGAAAAAAAGATTCAGAGAGGATCAATAGATAATTGTAAATAGACTTCCGAGAAAACTACTATAAATATTATGGTAGTATTGTGCTGAAAATTCGTAGAAATGAAAATGCAGTTTTCATTTTCAATATTATTGGGAATTGAAATTGATTTGAGTTAATTTTCGGAGAACATTTTTCATGGTGATCATGATATCTATTTTTAGATTCCTCCGAAATAATTAATTTAACCATTGCTGTGCCAAAATCCAAAAATAGGTTCTCGGGAATGGCAATTAAATCTGAAACTGTTTTCAGACACGGTTTAACAACTCTACTACAACAACACTACATAATGAAGAAGTGATTTTTTCAACGAAATCTATTGGTTACTTTTGTGACAAACCCAATTGTGCTACCGTGAAACAAATTACATGAATACAGAGAGATATCGGAAAAATATCAGTAAATAACTCAGGATCAATTTATCATTTCTGCTTGAGCGAAGAACGTATCACGGTTTTGAATACATTTTATACTTACAGTAAATTGTATTAGTAAGTTTTGAAAATATGTTTCGCAAAAACAAGTTTCCTGCTTCATACATCAGTTCACAACATGTTTTGAAAAAAACACTGATTTCTTTACTCCAACAGAAAACCAGAATGTTTTCATTTGGTCTCTTGTTGCCAACTTCTAAACCTTGTGAAATTTGTAGTCTTATGCTATGCTTTTGCAAAATCCTCTCAAAATTAGCAGATGACCTATCACTTTCACGAAAAATATTTCTAATGGGAAATATCTAAATTAGCTGAATTTGTGCTATAGTATTCTTCTACAAAAAATTTTCAAGTGCTGCAAATTTCTGAATACAGGTTTGCATAATCTGCAATCACCTTTACGAATTTTCCTCATATCATAATTTTTATCGAAACAGGAACCATTCATCTACGTTGAGATGTTAGGAAATTGAGTAATCAAAATACCGAACTCTATTTCTAAAAATGTGAAACTTTTCGGCCTTTTTATGTGTTTATATGCAACTTCTACCAAGGTTCCAAATAGATGAACACTCTAGCAGACCACTATTATAATCTTCATGCAGTAGTCACTGTGGTTCTGGCGTTGAATCTGTTCATTATTACGCATCGGTCAAAAACGAAACGGATTGGTTTAAGTTTGACGATAGTCGTGTCAGTAAATATTCTGGCAATATCTTGATTTTATTGGAGTGATCCAACATTTCATTCTATGGAGGAAAGGACATTGGCAGATTAAGATCTTCAGATGATGTAGTGCTGCTGATTGTTCCGGGTTTTCCTTCAGCTGAAAAAACAAATACGCCACTGGAATCAATCAAGTTGCTCCGGAGTGCCAAATAATTTTGCTTGTTGTTTCATAATTTCATAATTTGTATCACTTTCTTTTTTATATGTTTCTATAATTAAAATATGAAATAACTTCTATTGAGTTTCTAGAAATCCGAATTACTTTTAGGAAGTTGATTCATTTTCATAAATGAAACTTTCTATTGAAAATATTCATATGTTCAATACAGATACATAGATAATGAAATTTCAATTATATTTTTTATCAGTAATAAATTCTGAATATTACTGAAGTTGAATCCCAACACCAAACCGTTATTGTTAACACATCGACACGTGTTTCGATCACCAAGTGATCATCTTCAGTTTATTTAAGTGTAGTGTTTAGTTTGGTGTAGTAATATTCCTTACTACACCAAAGGTTCCAAACAGTACATCACAAGTAATACATTCATTCACTTCAACTATAAATTGGCAACATCATCCATTTGAGTTTTACAGAAATATCTAAATATTTTCAGTAAATAAGTAAGCAAATTCATACCCAGAGGTATTTGGAGTAACTGATCGTATATAAAAGGTGAAACTGAAAACCAGCATAGCCAAGCACTTCTACCAACCTCCAGAACTGCAATACTTCTCAACATGTAGGAAATGTCAGTGACTGACATTCCCTATTCCCAAGGGGGTAGGCAGATTGAGACCCTTGCAGAGACCAACAATGAGACCTGGGCAGAGTGTTAGTACCTCAGAAGTATGCAAATTGAGACCTCAGTGTAGCAATAGCTTTTTGAAAAATTGCTTCAAAGTCGAAGCCGAAACGTCGAACTAACAAAAATACAAGACGCGGTTCCACCCGGACTTTAAATTATCAGATTTCTGACAGCGGCAACCTTTCGTCCCAGCACATCAACAACAACAATGGAGAATCGTCGAATCACTATTAGGAAGGTTGCTGAGGATGTTGGCATATCGATTGGCTCATAACATGAATTTTTTTCGGAAATAATGTGCGTGTGGCAGCGATGTTCGTTCCAAAATTAAAATTCCCCTAATTTTTCCTACAGACTTCGTAGTACATTATTTCATGAACTATAAATAGTTTTCGCACTCTCTGGGTTACTTTCTGGGAAGCTTTTATCAGCTTCACCTGTATGTATGTATGTTTGTTTGTTTGCTACTTCGTTTGTTTGTTTGTTTGTTTGCTTGTTTGTTTGTTTGTAACTCTCAAGCTCGGGATCTGTATTTGACAGAATTATCGACATTATTGCTTGATCTATTCGTGGGTAGATGGCGCTGTACGTAACCTCCTTGATATAATTCAAACTCACTTTACATGTATTTCTTCATTTGAAAAAAGGAATTTTTTTTAACACACGCGCCTGCTGGTGATTTCCGGAATCGGAAAATATCAATGGTGAGTTTTCTAAACAATATACGGCTGATTGATCCCAAAGTTTAGATAAAATAAATATAGTTTGAAAAGACTAAAAAACACGATGTTATAGCATACAAAACTAAAAAATTAAAAGTAAATATAGTTTTAAAAACTAAAAAACACGCTTTTAAAGAACATATGACACAGAATTGTCATTTTTGAGTTCATCCATTAAAAACATACGAACAAATCTTTTCTTTTTATAATATCAGTACAGAGTGTGGATTGTATTCATTGTATCATTTGTAGTCTATTTATTTCACTTAGTTTGAATTTGATATGAAAAATATTTTCTACAAACTGTTTCCTTATTCTACTGGTACTAACCTGACGGCGTAAGAGCGTTTGCTTGAAACTCTATGAAAATACATAGGGCTAAAACGGCAGGCCAGATGTGATACCCCATGATTTATCTCCCGCCAGATTCTGTAAATAAAATAAATATTATTATTGCATCGTTTTTAAACAAAATCAGTTTTCTTTAACTCTTCTCGGAATACGTCACCGGGAACGAGAGGTTTTTGTAAAGAGTCAAATACAATTTTAACTGATGATTGTTTCATACATTTTCTGAAAAACCACAGTTTATGAACAGAAGCACATACCAAGTTGAACGGATGTTTACGTTGGAATTCATGTTTGCCAACGCCATTATTAGGTTTATAAAATACCAAACAAGCAATTAATAGATCGGAAGCAGTGCGTAATTCTGATTGGCAGAAATGTCGGTGTTCTTGCATAAGTATCAAAGCAAATGAAATTCAATTCCGGTAATTGTAAGCGGGAAATGCTACGATCGGCCACAGTAAAACTTTCAGTCAAATACATATGTATTTGTACTAGCGACCTGACCCGGCTTTGCACGGACAGCCTGCTTTTTTTCTGTCAATGTAATGGCAAAAATGTTTTGTGGACTTTTTTCTATAGTTTCATGATTCTTTTTACACACCGGTTATTAGAATTATTTTAAATGTAGTCTCAGTTGATTTCCTTTCAATTAAAAATATATTGGAATTTTTCATGAAAAAAATATCATAAAATTCCAATGATTTTCGAATCATGTGTTGAAGCACATGTTCTGTTTCGCCACGACAGGCAAATCTTCAGAAATTCTGAAAACCTTTTGAATTACGGATTTTGTATAAAATAGTTCAGCAAGGCACATCAATCATTAACTTTCAGAAAACAAGTCATTTCACAATATATAGTTGAATGTTAATTGTCATTAACAATCCAATATCTTCCATTTTCTTTCACAATGATGATAACAATAATTAGGATAATCCAATGCAAAGAGTTTTCTTCAAGAATATGGAAGATCTCATCCAAGAACCTGACATTCACTTTCCTCAGGTCAAGTGAGCTGAAATTCCAAATTGAGGATCACTAGGACTGTTATACAACACCTGGGTCTACCATAATCCATTTATGGTTTTTGAGTTTCCTTATACTAGACATTTGCAGGACATTTCCCTAGGCGCTTGAAACCTATTACCAGGATATTGATGAGACGTGATGTAATCCTCCTCGACTGTCAAAGTGATATAATATTTATTTGTCGTGAAGATTTGTGCTCGAGTGAAGCAAATATCGTACGAAGAGAAGGAAAACGAATGAAATATGGAAAGTTTCTCTTCGAACCTCGCAGACTCTACCACTTTGTTAAAATGGTTTGTTCTGATTGTAGATGTCCTAGTAGAATGTTTGACAATGAATTACTGATACATCCTGTATATTAGGATTTGGATAATATTTGCGGTATGTGTTTTCAGTGAAATTTCCGATAACTTCCTCGATGAAAATCTGTATTGATTTTGATTCTTCTAATCGACCAAAAAATTTTATACGAGTTCAAGAAAAAAATTTAGGGGTGGTCGGACTTGAAATATGAATTTTCGGCTTTCGGTAAGATGCAATTTTTTAAATAATTGCGAATGCATTCCCCATTACACCCCGAGGATACGTCACTGCAAAGTCACTTCATATGTACTCAGTAATGAATGTATTCTCGACAATGGCAAATAGATGCAGCATAGATAAACAAGATTCACAACCATCCGATGTCATAAACCCCAAAACTTTTCCAGATGACCGAATGAATGATTGTAAAACAAAAATGAGAGGTAAAAATAAGAAAGGTAACGGAAATACCACGAAGCCTCCAATAAGTCGTGTCCCTGCCATTCAGTCGAGCCGACTTAGTTCAGGGCCTGTCTTCAAACACATGTGTGTCACACGTGCTGCTGTTTTTAGTTGGGATGAAATTCCCTGTTCTGTAACTATTTCGTTACTTGTTGGTTATTATGTAGCCCCGTATGTGTATCTTTGTTCGCATCGAAATGATAATAATAATAATTAGTTCATTTTATCACAAATGGTTTAATTAATTAAAATAAAAACTAATTATGAGAATGTAGGCAATTCGAAACGTGAATAGAAATCACTAGAACTTTCATGCCTAGAAAGAATGACAATTTAAGCAGAGGTGAGTAGAGACATTTTCCAAACTAGTGGCCTGGTAACTCATTCCAAGAGAAAATACGATGTATCCTTCCAGTGACGAACAGCCGCTAACGTTTGAATGTTTCAATGAATGGCCACTTGAAAGATAAAACCTTGTTAATTCTCAAGTTCTTTGTTATACTTTCGAAGAATTTTGTTTGTATGCAAACGATAGCCGGTTAACTGAAAGACTCATTTTAAACCAATCCTGGGTGGGAGCAAACGGGAGAAGGGCCCAAAATCTAAAAATTGGTAGCTACTGACATGCTGGTTTAATCTTGTCAAATGATGCTGAAAAATAGTAAAATTTTCTTCTTGCCCAAATACAATTAAAGCCCCGTTATTGGATGAAAAGTATAGAATTTTTTTTATTGAAAAAATTTTGGCAAAATTTTTTACATTAAATGATACGGTATTGGACTCAAATAGGTATAAACTTCGAAACGAATTATACTTCAAATTCAAATGATATCCTGCACAATTATTGTTGATTATATTAGCAATTGAGTTTGGAATAATTATTTCGATAATCGTTGAATATTAATCTATTAAGAAAAATCATTGCTGAATGAAAAACGTTTTACTTTCAGTAAATAATCATGAGTACCAAGTGGGTACGTCTTGTGAAAATGTCGAGTATAGTATTTCAGGAGAAGTTTGAACACTATGAAGTCGGTGTCTGTATGAAAGTAGACTTTGTATACAGTAGTTCAACATATCCAACCTAGTAGTTCTTATGCTTTTTGGTTGACATTGAATTTGATCTTCTGAAACTACGAAAATTATTTTACACTTCTGTTATAACAAACTCATCAAAAACATACATATACATATTTTGAAACTGCTTGTCCATCTGATAAATTTATGCTACATAAATGGGAATCTACCCAACCAATGGAAAGAGTCAAGAGTTTGACCCGTTTACAAGACTGGGAACAAACACGAAATGAAAAATTATAGACCAATCTCTGTGATAGATAATTTTGCAAAAATTTTTGAACAATCGGTCAAGAAAAGATTACTTGAATTTCTTAACAAGCACCATGTTATAACCGACAGACATTTTGGATTCATTCAAAACTCGAATACT